CCGAGACTGTTAAAAGGTAGGTACCTAGTATTATTATATCATATAAAATCTAATCTAGTACTGAAAAGCTATGTACAAAATCATTGGTTCATATTTGTCTGCCATATGAACTAACGTGATACACCACGACATTTTAACAATGTATCTCCACCTTAAGATATAACTTCATACACGAAATAAATTATTAATTATTATGTATATCTATTATATATAATTTTTTTAATTTTCTACATGTGCTACAAAACTATAAGCAAAGAACGCGGAAGAAATCAACACCCAGAGAAAAAACTCGAAAGCTCCAAGAAAAAAGAGAAGAGAGAAGAAGAAACTGGACTGGTCGAACCGATATGTGCCCGATTAATATCAAGTTTTTGCCAGTCCACGCATGCAAGTACACGAGTCGAAGTTATTCAGCGGCGATTTGATTTATCTGCGTCAATTTTATTGCGAGTTATGCGGATAATTTCCCCGATTCTATTTGGTCGATTAGTCGACGCAACTGAATAAAAGCTTGCCAATTTATGGGCTGGCGAGCCAACAGGTGCGCGTTCGAGAGCTGTAAATTAGTTATCATTGGCACGAATAGATACTGCGGCGATAAAGTCCGTTTAACTACCTCGATGCTTATTTTTCATACAAGGTGTACCATTTAATTCCACGCTGCTTCAGTATGCCGAACGCAAGATCATTTTCTGCCTCAGCAAAACTGAACTAACTCGAGAAATAGAAATCAATTCATTCAAAGACATGATTATTTAAAGCATTTATTTACTGAATCGAAACATTTTGAGCCATTATATTGGAATGCCCATGCGTCTGACTGTTGAAAACTGTTTTGGATTGCTCATTAACAACACATAAAATTGTTATAAGGTCATTAATAATATATTGTTTGATAAAACAGAAGAAGCAGCCGCAATTTTACACCACTTCAAAGAATTAAATAATGATTTTGACGCACTATGTGACAACTTTTCTTATTGCAGTCCTAAAGAAGGCAGGAATTCTGGTGAAACGCTTAAATAAGTAACAGAATAAATATGTGTCCAATTAACTCGTCATTGGGACACAGGGATTAAATTATTTAATATCTTGGGAAACAGTTAGTCTGCGGACTACAGATCCGTGCAGCATTGAATTACACCTTCAATATCTAGTAAACATGTAAGATCATCAAATCCAAGATCACCGGTTTAATGCCTATCAAGAATCCTAGAACTATGATGGAAAACAATTTTCCTGGCGGGTTATTCTGCTATTCCCGTACTGTTGGGCTACTTTGAGACATTGATTTTTGACCTTGATCTTGACTCATGGTCATTTCCGGGGTCAAAATTATGGAGTCCCATTTAAAAAAATTCTCGTGATCTTGATATGACCTTAAAGGTCATGGTCCAGATCAAATTCAAGGATAGCCAGAGAAAATTCCTATACCCCTAGTGGGGTATAGGAATTTTCGCTTAACTGGTGACCGGTGAATTTTTGTTCCATGAAAAGGATCATGTCTTATACTTCGAATGCGCATGTGTTTTTCTCTTCCCAAGAATGTTCGAGCCCGTGTATTTGCAGCGGTTGAGGGGGGAGGGCCAATATGTATTAGTTTTTGCAATACATCCAATTAATATATGGGTTGATTAGTGACAAGTTAAAAATACAAACTTTGAAGAAATTGTGATGAGATAGTTCAATAACTTAGAAGCTGATGAAGAGGAATTACTTACTAAAGATGGAAATGAGTAGCCAGGATAAAAATAATGACAACGAGAATATAAGTGAAAATACAAATATAAATATAAATGAAAGTAATGAAAGAAAAGAAAATAGTGAGTACAAATCTTATTATGGAAAACATCTTTTCAAATGATCGGTAGTATTGATTTCGAGAAACAAAAAAAATGCTCATAAGAGTACAAATAAAATTATCTTTTATTTGTACTCAGCAATCATAGAAATCTAGGAGACTCGACTGATTCTATGTTATTTCGTTTTTAATTTTTACCAGTGATAAAAGAAATTGTACGTATATACAGGTATAACTAACGAAAAATCTAAATGGTAAAAGCACAATATATAAATGAAAACAAAATAAGAATGCAAGATAGACATTATTCGAGAAATCCCATAATGAAAATGTAGATTCTCTTTTCTGTACGGATGGCACACGATGAGATATTTTTAGAATAACGATGTTTCTAAAAAGTGTAAACCCTGCTCACGTTTTTAATGATACTGAAACTTTAAATATTATGGAGAAGCTCCGATGTCATAGACGTTGGTAGAAAATTCACCAATATGTTACTGCATTGACAATTATATCTGTATAGATAAGATGTTAGTTGAATTTAATGGTAGATCTAATTGACCTAGTATATATGCCAAATAAACCTAAGAAATTGATATAAGAAATAATGATGTAAATTAATGCACGTACTTCATATACCTAAACTAAACTAAACTAAACTAAACCTATATGAATATTATTTATACAAGTAACAACCAATACAGGGTTTACAGCATAAACCATTACAAACAAATTACCTTAGACACAACGCTGCATATACGTTTAAAAAGTTCCACAGTTAATAAAAAATCTAGCATATTAAAGTGCAACTCCAAATTTACAACTGTGAGAGGTAATATCTACATGCATTAATGTCAGCATATAGTATTTTAGGTAAAATAGCATGAAAACACTAATATTCTTCTTCAAACAGACACACAATTCAATAGAATAATTCACCAAAATAATCCCGTAAACAAAACTGTTAGGAGTTTCATCTGTACATCTAACAAGACAAGATTTATTGAAATCGGATCAGTCCTTACTTTGCCAACTTCGAACAAACTGACGAAGTTAGAGTTTTATTCTATCAGTCCAAAACTAAGTTTGCAGAATCAATATTTATCCTGATGATCTGAAGGCAATAAATAAGTAGTGATAGGTTTTTCGTCAGAACTGTAATATCTCCGAAGAAAGATTGAATATGCATAAAAGAGGTATATTGGATCTCGTACACATTAAAATTAGAAAAAAAGTATAGAAGCATGGATACTAAATTTTCTGGCATGGTATCTCGACATTATAAAATGTTAATGGACCCAAATAATTGACCTAAAAATATAAGCCTTCGTTATACAGGACAGTTTTACTACTATTTCAAGCGTAAAGTTTCACCGACACTTGCTCATTTTTTTCTTTTCATTTCAAAATTTATTCCCATTTTCAACTTTACTTAAGTTAAATATAAACCCAAATTCCTATTTTATTGAAAAAATGCACGTTCTTTTTAAAAAATAACAAAAATGCATATGAAAATATGAAATACAAGTAATAAATTCTTAATATAATAAATACAGGGTCCGTCACTTAAAATACCGTACGCCTGTCTCCTATAATTTTTCAATTCTCGTAGGTATTAGGTATTTGGTATTAGGTATTAGGTATTAGGTATTAGGTAACAAAATGGCGGCTGTTTTAAACTTATTTTTCCGGGTTGATATTTTTCTTTAAGACATTCCATGGAATAGACGAATGAGCTTTAATTTTATATGTAGATTTATAGCTTTTACTGTTATATAATGGAGTTCAAAACTAGATACTAATTGCGGTAACACTGCCACCTAAAAAACTGTCACATATAGTTAAATTGGAACAAAATTGTCTAATTTAGTATGCACTAATTTCTCGAAGAGAAATGGATTTGTTAGTTGTTGACGACTTTTAAAAACTACGCAGTTTTCAAATTTCAATTTCATCGTTTCCTTGGTTTATTTGACAAGTTATATCAAAATAAGAAAACGCTTCTTTCCTCATCAGTTTTTTTTTTGCGTTAATGCACTCCTTACTCCACTGAACTCATGTTCATTATTTTTTACGCAATCTACAATTGAATACTTTTCTTTAAGTGCTAAATCGACACACAGATGCCTTCATAAATGATTACAAGCCACATGACCAGTAATTTTGTTTAGAACAGTAATTTAATTTGTTTCCTTCACGTTGGCAATTCAATTTCAGTAAACTTAAAAATTGTCTCGGCGTAACGGTTTTTTTTCTGTTCATTGTAAACGCACCATCAATATTGATGGCACCAAGATTTAGGGAATTTTCGTTACCAGTACCAATAGTGCAATGTTGGGTTGCCTAAGCTCGGTGGTCATGTGGCTTGTAAACATTTATGAAGCTCTGTACAATTGATTCTAGTTATGTTTATAAATTTCGTTTTATGAAATGAATGTTATAATGTTATATGTGTACCAAAAATATTTTGTAGATTTATTATGGCCACGGTAGCGTAGTCGGTCGAGAGTACGGTGGCAAGCATTTCTCGGCCAGACTTCCTATTCTGGTCCGGGTTCGATCCCTAGCGTCGGCACTAGCAATGTCGATGGATAATGGGTGTTTGCACGCGTTTTTTCGAGTGTAGCCCTTCCGCACAGCCTTTGGCTTTGGATTTGGGAGTCGTCTCATTTCTGTGGTGTGTTTTATGTTTATTAAGAAAATAAGTATCCGAATAAATGTCACTTTAAAATTGCAGAGTAATTATTTAAATTTTGAAAATTATTCTTCATCTATCTAAAATACATATTGTCGACAATATCTTAGAATTTCTCAAGGAGGAAATTACTACCTATATACGGACTGATATTCGACATTGAATTTAACTAACAAATGAAAGTTTCAAGAACACAGCATACTATGACACAGATCAATGTCTGCTGACTTTCATGAGACAATAACTTCACAGGTGCTATATTAGGAAAAAAAGACTAATCGATCTGAAATTTTACAGGTATTGTCTTACAGTTTTTCTTTTCTCTCTTAGCTATAGGTTACATTGCAACTTATTTTACCAAACCCATAGGAACCGCTATGACATTATTTCGAATCCTCTCACTTCTAGAAACCTTCCAGGAATTAAACAACCGTCCAGAACTCTATGCTTTCAGTCTATCGTAATGCATTTCGAAAGATATTAAATCCCTCGATTTTATTTCAGATTCATACCTCCTTGGTCCATGGACGACCGGGAGCGAACGAGACGAGTCCGGAATTATTAGAGTTTACGAAGGCCCAATACGTCCGTCTTCGACTAATGGGTTTAAGAGGCACTCAGGAACCATTGCCCCGATGGTTTACACAGGATATCTGGAAGGATAAAAGGCTCTTCTACTCAATCAGAGATATAAGTGTTGGGGGTCAGTGTGTCTGCAATGGTCATGCCGAGAATTGCCGCTACAATGTAGCTTCTGGGGTAAATATTTTCGTCTTTATTCAAAACGCAAATCCAAATTGATTGCATAATACGCCCTTTTGAAGTTCTACCTATAAAAACCTGTATTAAAAATTTGCACAAAATTTGTGTTTTTTAAATGAAGGCCATTGAATTTCCTTGATCAAGCCGGTCATGTATGTGCATGTTAAATATTTATTTGGTGACGACGTTGAAGGTTAATTGATTATTATCATTGTTGATGGTAGCTTGATGGAGCTACGTTTTGCATTTCATATTATAATCGATTTGTATGTGTACTGTTTACGTGTTTTTTATTGTGGTTTAATGATCCTGAGTTTCTGTTTTTATACTACAAACTTACTACTACTACTTTGTGTAAGAATAACCAGAGAACTCAAATGTGTTTTTTTTTTTAATGAACAATTATTTCTCAAAATATTTTATATCAGATGTTTAAAACAATGTCACGTAGCTACAATTATAAAGTGAAAACGGTGTTTTCACTTTAACACCATGTAGAATACAACAGAATAAACGCATTTTCGAAGTAACATTTTTTTTTCAAAATCTTAAAGACAATTATAATAAAATCATATTTGAAATGTTAAAATCATGTTAAAATTTAAAAAATGTGTGCGTTTTTATTAAAAGGATCAGATTCTTCCCGCGCACACAAAATATGATTAAACTTTTTTTAATTTGTAAATGCAGGCACATATTTTTAACAGAGGTCAACGAGTTTTGACTTTTAAGTATTTGTTACAGAATAAACTCTAATTCGAGGCATATTAGTATCATTCATTCAAAACATTTTACTTTTTCTGTTCCGTTAGCTTGAAACCAAAACACTTAAAATTCGAAATTTAAAATATAAAGCTTACAATGTAAAGTGCAACTCTTCCTTTTATTATAATAGTTATTTCTGTATCTAACTAGTGCAAAATGATTTGGCATGTGAAATGAAAACTGTCAACACGTAAAATTGCCAAAAACACTGTTTTGAACAAGTTACGTACAAAAACGTATTTTAATAGTTATTTCAAGAAAATATGGTATATAATACAGGGCGTTTATAAACTTGGAGAGGATACTTTGAAAACAGAATAATTTATTTTTTTAATACCTGTTGATTTACTACAATAACACAATAAAACATTTTCGGAACCGCTGACGCCATCAATGGCTCGGCTATATTGATGAGCTCTATTAGTATGTATATTGGCACTTATTAACACACGCATACCCCTGATAAACTGTATTTTTACAAAAAATAAAACGCAGTTAAAAAGTATTTCATTTCATTTTCCCCAAACAAAGAAATCTAGAGGGTTCAGATTAGGCGATCTTGGAGGCCATAAAACAGGTCCGGCCCTTCCTACCCATCTATGTGGAAAAGTTTGGTGTAAATGCTCTCTAACGGCCATGGAAAAATGAGCTGGAGCACCATCATGCTGGAATCACATTTGTTGCCTCTGATTCAAAGGAATGTCTTCCAAAAACTCATACAGTGTGTTCTGCAGAAAATTGAGGTAAGCAGCGCCTGTTAATCGGTTTGGTAAAACAACAGGACCTAGAAACCTGTCACCTACAATACCCTTCCAAATGTTTAATGAAAAACGTGCCTGATGTCCAGATTCTATTAGAGCATGAGGATTTTCGTCGGCCCAAATATGCGTATTGTGAAAATTAAACACTCCATTTCTTGTGAACCCGGCCTCATCAGTTAAAAGAATGTTTGCAACCAACGTGCTTGATGATCATTTATTGGATTTAAGGCCTGTACTCGTTGCACATGGTATGGATAAAGCAGTTGCTCGTGAAGGATTCTCCAAACAACAGGACCACTAATTCCTACCTCGGCTGATATTCTCCGCACACTCGTACCTGGATTCTGCTCTACCAGTGCTAGATTTTCTTCTTCTGCTCTAGGAGTGGATACCGACCTTGGTCTTCCGGATAAATGGTACTGTTTGCTCAAGGAACCGGTATCACGCAATCTTTGGTGAATTCTTCCAAACATGCGTTGTGAAGGAATCTGGCGATTTGGATAAGCGTCAACATAAAGACGTCGCGTTTCGGTGGCGTTCCCATTAGCACGACCATACATGAATTGCATGTCTGTTAATTCTGCGTTAGAGTAACCAGCCATAGCGAAAGAAAACTTGTGCACTGAGAACAACTGTCAAATACGTACTGTTTATTTCACTAAACATCAACCAACTATTATAAGAAAATACACAACGTTTTTGCAAAATAAAAAAGGGGGCTAAAAAACATAAAACATTCCATATCTCCGCAACCGTTACTTTGCGGACCAATGTTTATTGAGACTTTTCTGCTTATTTTGGTTCATACTATTACCTCCTTAAATATTTTACACTCTTTTTTTAACACCCTGTATACACCTCTATTTATATAGGGAGGATTTACAAAAAAATTGATCTGTGTGACACAAGATAAAATATGTAGGTGTTAAAATTTTTAAAAAATATCGCAAGTTCTCAAAAAACCTGTCCAGATAGATGTTTGACCTAAATTAATAAAAATGTTATGTAAAATTATACACTAGCACTAGATCATTGGATATTTTGACGCCACATGTCGTGTAAAATTATCTTATTAATATAATGAAATTTAACATTATGACATAACTATAAGGTCATCTTACAATAACTTCTGTGGCATCAAAATAATCAATCAGTGATCTGGTGTGTAAATTTAAATAATTTTTTGAGTATAAATTAATTAATTAATTCTATTATTTATGACAACTCAACATAATGCTAACAAATATTACAATTAGAGAGTACTAAATCATTACAAAGTAAAAGACAGGTAGGTACATTAAAAAAGTGGTCAAGAACGACAAAACCTTAAACTAAATTAAGACTAGAACTAAGTTAACAAAGAAAAGTAAGTAATGCAAATAATTTTACCTACTTATGTTTTGTTAGAACAAATATCTACAGATCAATAATTTAACTACAAGAAATACTGGTGATGCTGGTGACTTAATAAAGGTAAAAACTGAACTGACTGAATTTTTATACAATTATGTGGATTATTGCGAAATTCTGTCACTAAGAATCCCCAGAATTTCGATGCACTGAATATTTTGGGATTTAGATCGATACATTTGAGTCTCAATTGTATTTGAAAAAAGAAAAAAATATATTTTATTCGAAAAACTGGTAATTTCGAGCTTTTATTTAATTTTTCTTTGTATAAAATAAGCCTACTACACAGTTGTATAAATCTAAAATACATAAAATAAAAATTTAAATACAACAAAAAAGCATTTAAAATTGAATTTACAAAACAAAATTGCTATATAATATTTATTGTAAAACGATTTTTTTTAATTATTATTCGATTTATTTTTAGGCTAAAAAATAATAACTCAGCTGTACTCAAACTTTATTTAAAATGATAAAGTGGTCACTCTGTTTGTTTCGAACGGTACGATATAATTTAAAACATTAATATTCACTTAATATTGCGCACCTATAGTGTGAATTTTAATGAAAATGGGCGGATTTTAATTTAAAATTTTTATTATACCGAAATGGAACTACACTTTTAAGAAAATTAACGAGTTTATAACTGGTAATAAAAAATGTGTTAATTAATGTCAGGCCAATAATTTAACTCGTTAAATATGCTCGTATTAGCGCATCCCTTTAAGGATATAAAAGGTTTTGAATATTTATAGAAAATAATAATTTGCAGTCCTATTATCGTAGATCATAATTCTTTGGCAAACATCTACTACACTACTTATTCAAATTTATATATATATTGAAGCAAAAAATGTTTATTAGTTTATTTCATTTTGCGTTCTCTAAAAAAATATCGGATCATCTGATAAATACACAAACTTGATAAATTACCGGGTCATAATTACAATACAAACTTTTTATCGCTGCAAATTATATACCAATTTAGGCATGAAGTTGAAAGCGATTTCTGATTTATTTAGCTGTTAAAAATTATACGGTAATTTTTTTGATCCTTGGTGGTCGGCTATTTTGAAACCCACTCAGTAATAAAGCTATATTATGGTCATGCGTCTCCCTACAATCACAAGATTTATAAGAAAATAATTTAAAAATGTATAATTAAATGTATTAAACCTTTACGAATTTTCTAAATTTACTCTCTACTCTACTAAATGACGTCAACACCACAATTTACAGATATGAAAATGTTAAAATTAATTTGCTAATTGCTTTTCGTATGTACATAATAAGTAGGTACAGGGTATTTACCTATTTTACATATAGGGTGTTTCAATTAAATCTTCCCACCTTGAAAATATCAGAATTAAAAAAAAAACAAAAAAACCTGAGAAGCGTCGATTTTCTTTTCAAGAGGAACACGTGAGGGAGTAAGTTTTGGTGTATTGGAAGCTATTTAGGCAAGGCCGTAAATACCCTTAAACTTTAAATGGAACCTTATTTTAAATGCCACCTCCTTTTAAAATTTTTCAATACTACTCACGACGACATACGACTTTTTAAATTTTAATTTGGATATGACAATAAAATCATCACTTAAATAATAAGACAAAATATCAATGAATGAAATAATGTTATTTTATTAAATGTTCAAATTGGTTTCCCTCCGCTTCCATACAATAATAAAATCTTTGCTCGACTTCCGAACGAACATTTCGAAGTATTTCAATCGTTATCTGATGACATTCTTCAACAATTCGCCGACGAAGCCCCTCAAGTGAGTTCGATCGTGTTGCATAAATTTTCGATTTTAAGTGTCCCCATAGAAAAAGTCTAAGGGCGTTAGATCTGGCGATTTGGGAGGCCGCTCAATTGAACCTCTGCGTCCCATCCACGAATTTGAAAAGTTCTGATTAAGAAAATTACCTGTTGAAACCACACATCCTCTTCTGGCCAAGCGATGTCATTTTCCAATACTTCCACAATCATCGGATATTCGTTTCCAGTAGATTCAGATACATGTTTCCATCCAGATTTCCCGGTAGGAAGAAAGGCCCTATC